TAAGAATTAAATACTTTTTAAAATTAACGTCAGCATGAACATATTAAATAGTTTTCTTTGACTAATTAAATTGGTTTAGATAATGTAATGTTGCTTTTTCTCTTACTTTTTTACTTTTACTTTTTAAGTATCATTTTAAGTAAAAATATACTTAAAGAAAAATATTAATAGTATTAAAAACGTTATTGCTGCAACTTAAACTTTAAGTTATAACTTAAGTTGTAAATAAAAACAGTAAATTACGCTATTTTAAACTCTGCCAAACAAGAAAATTATAAGATTATATTTAAATATGAGAGATAATATGTTAAAAATAGAACAATTACGTACAAAAGTTGCAATTATATATTAACGCAACTCCCCCCCTCCCCATTACCGCAAAGCAGCGCAATGTATAAGGGAGGGGGGGAGGGGGAATTGAATTTTTTTTTTTTGCAATTAGATTTTTTTGCATTAATTCGAGCCCTGCATTAGTAAAAATTATTTGGTATGTTTGGTAGCTAATTATTTTATTAAAATAATTAGCTACCAAACATAGTCATTCAAACTTTTGTAACAAATATTTTTTTCATAAACGTCATTTAGAAGTTAATGTGACTTTTTTTAAAATTAATTACTTCTTTTATCTTACCACTTATAGAATAATTAAAAAATGATAAAAAGTCGCTTAACCAAAACTGCTTACTGCTTACGTAAAAATTGCTTGAGGCGTACGTAAATCGCTCTATGCATAACGTTTAAAACAAGGTCTGATATGGTTGCTTTGCACACTTAATGAAATTGTTAGCAAATGAACTTGAAACTGATAATGTTAAAGACCATGTAAATATCGTCAAATACTTTAGGAACCACCATTTTGCTTTGACATAATACAGAAAAGTTGTTGGACTTTTTTTATTACTTTTTGATACAGCGTGTAAAAAAACGGCCGGTCAACGGTCAATGACCGCCCAAAATTAGTAAAATTGCTATTTTGACCTCCCAAATTGAATTCTAGCCGGTCATGGCTGACCGGTTAAAAAATAATTAGAGTTTTGAAAAACAAGATTTGAAAAATAATCAGATTATTATTTGGAAAAAGCATGTACTAAATTATCATATAATCATTAAAATTTTGAAAAAGTTTATCAGTTTATCATACTTCCTTTAAGAAGTAAAATGAAAATCTATGCGCTAAATTTTAAACTATTAACATTGGCGTGGAATTTTAATGTTAGTTGTTTGCAAGTTTAAAAAAGGAATACTAATTCGTTAATTATCAAATATTAAGTTATTTTTGTATTTACAAAGTTCAGTCATGAAGAACTAATACAAAAATTAAAATGAAAACAAAGAAAATAATAAAAATGTTAATCGTCAAAAAAAAAACAGTTGACCGTCAATACCAAGGGTTAGCTGGTCGAATTGACCGCTCGCCTTCGATTTCTTATTTTACACACTGGATGATATATATGCATAGTTGTGAGACTGTCTAAAGGTGCAAATTGGTCAACTCTTCTAAAAATCTGAGTCTAACCAGGCCATAATTGACACTAGAGTGCAACTAAATTTCTTTATATTAGTCATTTAAAGATTTGCAGAAGATCTTCTTGCTTGCCTATAACCTAGTGCTTTTACACTTGATAAACCACAAAGTAAAAAATCTATTGCCAACATCAATTACTGTTGTCTTGAAAAAAACAATTTCGAGACAAAGGTAAAATAAAGTTTGACCTTAACCTCTAGAGACAACTGACATATATAACAAGTAAAACAGTATATTTTATAATATCATAACAAGATAAAATTAATAATCATAAATATTGAAGCGAACAGTATGACTGCGTTTTTTGATTCCTTCTGAGTGAAATGTTTTTATAATGAAAAATAAACTGTTACATTTATATAATTTATTTAAAAATATATTTTTAAGAGTTTCCAGCTTTCAGGGAAGTGGAAATAGATTGAATTCAATTTCCTGAAAGAGGAAAGTATTTAAAAATTAATCACTATCTTTAGGTTTTTACATGGTACTAAAAATATAATTTTTTTTGGAATTTTAAAAAAAGATTGGAAAGTGTAGGTAAGTAAGGTCAAATAAAATTAATAGTATTATTATTAATGAAATTTGACCTTACTTACCTACACTTTCCAATCACTTCTCATCGGAAAGTCATAACAAATTCAAAATAAATATATTTCAGACGCTAAACGAACTGTGATTTCTTATCCACAAAATTTTTAAGATTTTGTTCTTTTAATAGAACAAAAGTTTCTTTTAAATGCATTTAAGGAAAACTCATTAAATTATCTTTGGTATTTAAATGATTTGTGCTTTAGAACAAATGAAGAAATCCATAGAAAAATAAGCAAAGAAAATGATTACAATTTGGAAAAAAAGTATTTGGTGATAAAATGAAAAGATTTGTATCAAACTAGCGGTTACTGAGCAGATGTCTTATTTTTTTTGATCATTTTTTTTCTATTTAGTACAGGACCCGAATTAAGTGATGGCGAATTGCAATATCCGGAAATATCTGTGGTCATTAAATTCTTAGTTTTTTTAAAACCCATAAACACTGTTTTAATGAAATGGTCAGTTTATCATATTGCAAAAACTAATGAAAAAGAAAAACAATAAATTTACTACTGCAAAAATAATAACAGTCAAAATTTGCATATTATTAGTTATTGTTTTTTTTAAACAATAATTAATAATATGTAATTAAAGGATTATAAATAAAAAAAAGTTGCAAGACAAAAATTATTATTACTAAAGGTCCAAAAAACTTTTGGGGTTATTTAAAAATCAACCAATGAAAAACTATGCTTAAGCTATTTGGGCATTGTATAAAACTTTGTAGAAAAAAATAACCAATTAAAAAGTATGCTAAAGCTATTTGTGCATTATATAAATCATTAAAATACATTTTTATTTAGGGGAAAAGTTTATGGAATTATTTATTTAAAAATTTAAATGTTTTAAATTAGAATTTAATTATTTAATAAGAAAAAAAATTATAAAATATATATTTTTTAAAATATGTTATTATAGTTTCTTTTTTTTTGTTTTAAAGTAACTATTAAAAAAATTAAATTAGTTTTTATATATTAACTCCTCCATCTTATAATTTTATATTTGTATCAGCTAAAGTGTTACAACCGTTAAATTTATAAGAAAATATTGAATGAGATTTAAATAAGTATTTTATATCTTATTTAACAATTTCTTTTATTTAAAATATTCGATCATTGTTTTATTTAAAATATTCAATCAAAGTCCCTAAGATTGTTGTGATTAGCGCTTCTTTTTTTTATATATTTATATCCTACTTTATCATGCTTTATTTTTCTAGATTTATCTGATATTTTATAAAATAAATTAAAATATTAAAGTTTAAATTATAATCTTTAATAACAATGAAAATAAGAGGTGATAATATGGTTTTACATTAAGATTTTATATCATAATCGACGTAAATATTTTTTATTAAATGATATCTATTGAGTTTAGTGATCAAAACAGTTTTACGTTTTTAAAAAAGCTAAAATTTTAAAGACCGGAAGCATTTCCAGATATCGCAATTCGCGATCACTTTATTCGAGCCCTGCAGTATTACTTTCTGTTTTTTAATTTTTTTTTCTTGAATAATGGCTTTAACTCAATAAAATGATAACTCAAAATAGAGTTGTTCATTTGACATAATTTTATGCCAAAAAAAAAAGTTATGTTTATGATGGTGTAATGCTTTAAATAAACTTAATAAAAACATAAAATATTTACATAAAAACATAAAATATTTACATAAAAACACTTAATATCTGATAAAAATCCAGTCAACATTTATATTTTTAAATCTTTTTTTATATCTCTGCCACCTTAACACCTTAAAGATTGCTTAAGTTGTCTATGCAGCTTTTACTAGTGCCTACTTTCAAGTTCTGTAAGTCTTGTGATCCTAGTAAAACAGCCCTAAAAATCCTAAGGGCAAGATTGGACTACTTTCCAATAACTTGTTGTAGGTGAGAATACATTATTGAAATAAAGCTATATTATCATTAATCATTAATCATACATTATTGAAACAAAGATATTATATTGTTTAATAGGAAAGGTTGAATAAAAGCAAAAAGAAATCTAAAATATTAGCTAAGCAGCAATTATCTATAAAATGCTTTTTGTTAAGGTCTGTTAAAACGAAAACAAAAATAATATTTTAAATCACTTAACAGTATAATAATTGAATTCAGAAAAAAACAAAGCAAGAAAACAAAGGACAATTTTTCTTTTTTTTTGTTTGTTTGTTTAGGATAACTTGTGACCTGGTTTTTAAGTTAGTATAGTCTTATTCTAGTCATTATAACTAGCTGTATAAACTACTACTGGCAATACAACTAATTTCTAATTGGTTTGATTTTTGATAAATCTGTTATTGATAATTTGTCTTTTTTATTGACAACAGAATATAACACACATTTATATTTATGAGGTGCAGAAACAACAATATTCTAAAATGTAAAAACTTTACTGTTGACACAACTAGATGGCACAAAGCGCAAGCCTCTCTTGTTATACCTGATTTCATTTTCTACCTCGATAGAACTCTTATTTGCCTTTGTATAGAATACTGTTGTTGTATTTGGGCTGGTTCTTCTAATGATAGTTGGATAGGACTGAAAAATGCATTGAAAATGTTAAATGATAGCTGTTCTAACAAGCTATCTTCTTTTGTTCCATTAACTAATACTCAATATAAGGTAACTTGTGATTCAGCTGAGACTACCAAGAAATGTGACACCAAGAAATTTCGGTTTGTTTAAATTTCTTAAAAGGGACAATACTTTTATACAACAGAAAGTACAGTCTTTTTTAAAAGATCCAACGGTATGCTGAAAAGCCTGATAAAAAGTTTCTAATATCAAAACAGGGAATTGACAATCGCTAAAATTTAGTAAACAATATCACCCTATTAAACTAGGAAAAGTTAAACAAATTTATAGAAAACTTAGATAAAACTTACAATTCTTCTTTTTGTTTTGCTGACAATACCATTTTAGATATTAATTTTCAATTACCAAACAATATAATAGCATCTTGAAATGTTAATATATTTTGTGTTAAACTGTCTGGCCCAACAGGCCACATAAAATCCTATTAAAAAAATTTATTATTTATAAATATTATTGGTAAACTTTAAACAACAAAAATTCAAAAATACTTTAAAATATATAACTTTTTATTATATATATATATATATATATATATATTATATATATATATATATATATATATATATATATATATATATATATATATATATATATATACATATCACAACTAAATAATATTGATTTAAATAAATCTGAAATGAAGAATAGATTTTTCAGATTATAAAAGCTTATAGCTTTTAACTTTAAGTTTTAACTTTAAGTTTTTGGCAATTGTGTATTTAAGTTGCCCCACATTATAACATTTTGTAAAAATACCAAAAATCTTTTATGCACTATAAATGCAAGAGGGAAAAAGTAACCTTTTATAGAACATTTTTTATTATTTTTATTGCTTCGGTTTACTGGTAAACTGTTAAATTAAATTTATTATCTGATATTTAATACCAGAAAATTGCTATTAATGCCTTATTTTTTATCAGAAATCAAGAAAAACTTATTAGGTTTTATATGGTTTACTCTCAGAAAAAAGTGTTAATAACAATTTTTGTTAGAGCAATTAGTTTTGGTCATAGTAACAGTTTTTATATACAGTAAAGCTAAATATATATGCGCTATAATGAAATTAATTAGATTTTTTTTTTTTTAATTAAACTGCATTTATTAAACTATTACTTTGTAAAGATAAACTAAATTGTATTTTTTGAATCAGTTAAAAATACAAAAAATATAATTACTTTAATAGCCTGCAACATTTAAAAACCTATGAATATGTACACTTGACTAAACACAAACTTGTCAGGAAAATAGGTACACTATTCATATAAATTAATAACAAAAATTATCAAATTCATCAAAATTACCTTTAAAGAACGTGTTGGAAGCACTTGGGTAACCAAGTATATACACTTTTGCCACAATTTTTTAGCATAAAATAGTTATATTATTTTAGTTCAGTTTAAATACTAGTATGTATTGGCATTCAATTTGACTGAAAAAACTAATGTTTTTATTATAGATATTCATATACTCGTATAATTAGAAATATATAAAGCTATATTTATTTATGAATAAAATCGAAAACTGATATTTTAACAACTTAGAATTATTTCTTGCAAAAATTATTTCCTACGTTTTGATTTTTAACTTTAAAATATCTTATAAAAAATCAATTCTTATTTGAAAATTTGGTTAATCTAAAAATGAGCATTTTGTATAGTACATATACAAAGCCAGTAACAATTTTCATTCGAATAAAAACATATACTAAACTCAGTTGTAAGAAATAATTGAAATTTGGTGTAATATACATATTTTGAAATATACCAGTCATCCAGACAGGTGCTATATTAAAATTACACCAATTTCTTAAAAATTAATCATTAAAAAGTTCTTGTTTTTAGGAAGAAAAACAAAATTAAATTTAAATATTTGGAAATGATTATAACCATTTATTCCCCGACCATCTGAGCGATCCACTAAAACCATTTTCCATCCCAGACTGGGATGCGCGCCTTGGATTATATTTCGTTCCGAGTGGGTTGATTGCGCCGAAAACTAAATAACGAGTTTAGAGGACACTATATGTTGTTTATTATATAAAATTCTATATTTCTGGATAGAATTTTTATGATAGTTATTTATAAAATAGTATTTATCCACAAATCTAGTGTGTTCGTCGAGTATAGATTTTTTTATTGTCGTAACTTTGGTACAAATATAACTCTATATAATAAATAAAGGATTAACCTATAAGCAAAATGAGCACAAGCTTAGGGCAGCAAATCTAAAGGGGCAGCATATATAAGATTTGTTTTATTTTTTACTCCTTTTTTTACACCAAATAGGTCAAAATCTTATACCATACTATATAAAATATTAAATACTGCTTTAAACCTTGCCATTCAATTTAGGGTATAATGTAAATCATGTTAGGTTTCCTCTACATCACATTATTGTCTAAAATTAAAATTTAATTAAATGTCGGGGGAAATGAAGCACAGTTAACCAATTGGCTCATATACATGGCCGACGACACGGGTTTAGGAGTTGGGTAGGGGGGGGCACAATTGAAAATTTTTTTAAAAAATCTCTATATCTAAAATTTTCTTAAAAAAAAGGTCCTTAAAAAAAAAAGTGGGGAGGGGCACATGTTCTCCCCCCCCCCCCCCCCCCAGTGTCATCAGCCATGATAAAATAGAAAAAGAAAGACGTTTGGAAAATCAAAGTAATGTTTAAAAATAATCTTAAAGTTAAAAAAGTATTAAAAACCTTGAGCAAATTTAATAACAGAGCAACAGCAACAAGGATGTGCATCAAATCAAAATCAGCATTCATCAGTAGCATCTACATCAATTGTAGAAAAATAACAAAATATATCAGATCCAGAGGTAACAAATGTTGACACGTCTTTATTCAGTAATGATACAGTAAAAAATGGTGCAGAAAATACAGATTTTGAAATCAAGAAAAGTCTACAGTCAATGTAAAAACAGCTAACTGAGAAATAATCCTAGTCTATGGGATGAGCTATCTGTGGAGAAAAAAGTCTTTTGGGTTGGTGCTGAATGAAACAATTACAAGCATCATAAAGGTCCTTTTTATAAACTATGTTGTGTTTTTAAGTATAGAAAACAAAATTTGTAATAATTTTTGAATAGATTCTGTAATTTTATGTAATAACTTTCGTCTGCTAACAGTTTATAAAAATGGTTTAGGACACTGGTACCGACAAATGCAGCTTTAAAACTCATTTTTGTCTCTGCTAAAAACTAGAGTCAATCAGAGGTCTCATTATTTAAAAAAAATTAATGTTAAAAGTTTTAAAATAAAACTGCAAATGTGTTTGATCTGTTTAAAATGATTTAAAAAATCATCTTAAATCAGAACTACCAGTTGTACCGGTATAAAGTAAACGTTTTTTGTGTTAAAATGAAAAAATTGTTTTGAATGGAAAAATAAATATTATTTGTTCAAAGTATTGACCATTGCTTTCTACAAATCATCACTTTGGAGAAAAAAATTTAATTTTTTAACACGATAAAAAAAGTTTTTGTTCAATGACTAAATGTACATTTAATATGTTTGACAGATTTTACACCAACTAAACAAGAAAAACCAAGGGTCGTTCCCTATTGACCTAAGCCAGTCCCTTGCCGATCAAATCCCGTGCCTGATAGAAACATCTCGGGTGGCCCTTTTATGGATTTATCGTTAAAAGCCTCGGCTCCACGCCAATAAAACTTTAAATAGCTTATATGCTTAGAGCAGCACAATTACCTTAATCCAGTTCTGGAAAAGATATTTATTAAACTTAAAATAAATTAAGATATGTATTATAAAGTTAAAAAGTTATTAAATTAACAATTATAAAGATATATACTAATTTTATTTTAACATTTTGTTAGTCGATAACCGTTATCACTACCTTTTTCTTCTTCTTTTTTTTTCTCCTTCTTCTTTTTCTTTTGTATTATCGTCATCATCATCACCACTACCATAACTACCATTTTCATCATCACCGTCATCATCATGATCAACATCATCATCATGATCATCATCATCATCATGAACATCATCATCATCGTCATCATCATCATCATTAGCAGCATTATTATAATAATAATAATAATATTAGCAATAATAACAACAATAATAATAAATTTAAACATAAACCAGGTTGACGAAGTATTAACTTAATCAACTATTTAATAGTATTCAATTATAATCAATATTAACTCCTAATTGTTAAAGCCAGTTTATCGTCTACCTTATTTCCGTCATTTAAATTTCAAAGCGGTTTCTGAAAATCAAGGAAAAAATATATTGAGAAAATTAAAAAAAAATAAGTAAGACAATAAACTTTATAAACAATTATTTCCTTTTGATGCGCATTCACATACTATGTATGGCCTAATAAAAGCTCACAAACCAAGCAGTGACTATCTCATGGGTATTGTTGTATTTATTATTAACACACAACTAATACCCGCACCATAAAGAGGGGGCGGGTTGCTAGTGAGCCTTTTTTTGCAAATAATCTTTGTTTTACTTATTATGAAAATCTAGAAAGATTTTTATTTGCTGTTCTTAACTTCCTTTAAAAAACGTCCTCTTTTACATAATGGGCCTGCAACTGTGTAAAATTTAGGAATAGCATGTAATATTAATAAAATACTTTAAAAAAATTATATAATATTAAAAAAATTAAAAATAACTTTAAAGGTACAAGTTTCCTTTGATGCCGTCAATTTACATTCTTCTGTTCCAATTTAAAAAGGTATAAATGTTTTAATAGAAATCATTCGAATGATAACGAACACATTTAAAAGAATACAAAATTTAGTTTAAATGACATTTTACTGGAACTTTGCTTTAAAAATTTTGACTTTTTTTAAAATGATGAAATTAGAGCTAGATAAATCAGGTCCAATAAAATTATCCCTAATGTTTATCGTATCAGAAGCATATTTGAAACACATAGAAAATATAGCCAAATCTTTTCCTTTCGGTTCCCTCATAACTGCAAACCTATAACTTACAAGCACCATGTTGATGACAGCCATGTACATGTTGATAACATCAATGATGCTTCCAATTTCTTAATTCTTTTAAACTCAATTGATCTAAATTTACATTTCAAAATCGAAATTGAAAACTGCAATAAAGAGATAAAATTTTTGGATATTACGTAATGGAGTAATCAATATAATGGACTATACATATTTAAAATATTTATAAACAATGTCAATGTCAAACACTAGTCAATGGCAAAGTGTGTCTGCCATTGTTTAGTGACTTGTAAAAAGAACCTACTTTTAAAAATGTATACATATACTAATATAGATAAGGGATTTTCAAAAATTTAAAAGTAGATTAGTATATTTTCAGTTGATAAAATGAATTTTTTAAGATTTTGTTTAAAAGAATCAAAATTACATTCTTGAGAAAAATCTTTAGAAGTATTTAGAACTATACTATTCCATAAAAATGGTCCGCAAAACGAAATAAAAAATTTTCCAAAATTAGTTTGAGAAAATGGTTGTCGAATTAAATTATCGTTCCTTAGAATATATTTATTCTTATCTTTTTGTAAATACAAGTTACGAAAAGAAACGGGTGATAGGTGGGTCTTACATTTATACATAAAACAAAGAATATTAAAAACATTCAACTCATATATATTTAGCGCTTTCATATTATATAAAAGAGGCTTGGTGAGAGCAAAATGGTCCTTAAAATTTATAAGGCGTGCTACATGCTTCTGTTGCCGATAGAGAGGTTTAAGTTTACTTTTATAAGTGCTACCCCAAGCAATGTTTGCATAGTTGATATGGCAATGAATTAACGAATAATATAATTGAATTAAGGTATTTTTATCAAGAACGTTTTTTATTTTGTATAGTATGCCTATACTCTTTGAAATTTTACTACACAAGTTGGCAATGTGGCATTTCCATGTAAGATTTTCATCGATGTATACACCTAAAAATCTTGTCACTAAAACTCTATTAATAACTATGTTATCGATAAATAGAAAAGGTAAGTTGCTAGGCAGCTGGTGCTTTTTACCATAAGGATGAAAAAAAATCTATTTAGTTTTATCAATATTTAGTGAGAGTTTGTTTAATCTAAACCATTCGGAAATTTTGACTATTTCAATGTTCATGTTGCTAAAAAGTGTAATAATGCTATTATGAGAAAGAAATAGGTAAGAATCATCAGCAAACATAATTGTCATTAGGTTAGAAGCTTTTGGTAGATCATTAATATATATTAAAAATAGAAGAGGTCCTAATATGGATCCTTGGATCCACATGAAATATTTAACAAACTAGATGATACGTTATCATCCGCATAAACAAATTGTTTTCGATTATTTAGGTAGCTTTTTAGCCAAATTAATATTTTTCCAGTAATTCCGTACCACTCCAACTTTTTAAAAAGAATTTCGTGATTTATAGTATCAAAAGCTTTCGCCAAATCAATGAAAACACCTAAAGTAAATTAAGAATTTTCAAA